TGTATTTGGTATACCTTAGATACTTGGAGCCTCCAGTGCCCCCATCTGTAATGTGGAGGATAACCTGCTTATCTGACAAGAGTTGTGAAGAATTAAAGTGCTTAATTATATTAAAGTTTCTGGAAGACAGCCTGGTAAGCAGTAGGTGCCCAATAAATCTTTAGATTTAATTTGTGCCATGACAGCACAAAGAACTTTAGAAGAAAAAAACATAATATTGTATATATTTCAATCTTTAACAAACCTCATTTTAAAGTTCCCCCTCAATAATTCCAAATTTTCTAAAAACTTTAGTTTTCTAAAGCCATCACTAACCACAAGTTTGATTGGTTCCCCAAATCAAAGTTGAAAGCTTATTGTAATTAGAAGTTTAGAAATTTAATGAGTTGAAATGCAACATGGCACAGATGCCTTATTATACCAACTAGTTAACACAGTATTTGTTTTCTACATTAATTTTACTTGCTAATCAAAAATACCGCTTTCACCCCCAAATAACATCAAAATAAAATTGCTGATTGTGCAATGGCAAAACCAACACCATGTTTGCAACAAGGCCACTTGAAATCCGCTCCCCACCCCGACCTCCCCCTCCATGAGCTGGCAGTTCCCAGGGAAAATTTACGAATCTATATATCTTTAACTTAGTTCTTTTAAAACTCAAATGCAGAAGCCATGCTTTGCTATAGACCTACATACCACAAGACATATATTAATTTTCCATACTAAGCATACCTGTGAATGTTTATGAATGCTGAACATCAGGATGACATATAATTGTACATGTTTTCAGATGTCTATAACATCTATAAAAAGTATCAAGGGCTTCTTGGGGAAAAGATCACTTAGGAGCTCTTCCTTACAGTGTTATCCAATGATATAACCAAATCTCATCTGCTTACACTAATTTTTTCTTAGCCAACAATCTTCTAGAGAGGCCTACTGCTTTCAGGATAAAGCTTTTTCAGTCTTCATAATGTGGACTACCTCTCTAGTTTCAATTTCTTAACAAGTTCCCCAAAACTCTATCTAACAAACTCAAATATGGGATTTTACATACACAGTATATTCCATAATTTTATTTGTTTTTTTTAAAGTGGAGTTTTAAACAGTAGAGTTTATAAATAATGCCCCTTTAGTTAAATGAGGAGTAGGAAGCTCAGAGAACTATTTGCCCCTGCCCTGAACATCGTTAACAAACACTATGCCTAACCTAACACATTCTCACTCACCTTGGGTCTATGTTTCTAGCTTGCCCCTTTGTTTCATATTTCTCTTAGATTAAGCTCTGTGTCCCCACAGCACCCTGCATATATGGGTATCCTAGCACTTGTCACTCTAAGTGCAACCAACTGTTTTCTTCTCCATTTCCCCATCCGAAGGCACACTCTGAGCTTTGCACCTCTTTCCTCAGCCTCAAGGACAATGCAGGCTGGAGGTTTACTCTGAGCGAATAACTATTAGCAGTTATAGAATATCTTGGCTATAAGAAGTCACAACTATTTAGAGGTATCAGAAAGGGAAGCAAGGAATGGTTAAAATACTTCAGTTTACAAAGATTCAGAGATTATTATTTCCTTTCCCTTCCTTTTTTCTTTCCAATCTGGCTAATTCTATTTGCTTTCTTGTCCACACTCAAATGTTAAGAGTAAATCTATACTTTTTTTCATTTTTAACTTAAAAATTATGTTTTCTTACCCTATTAGCCTTTGTTTTATTTACTTAACCCTTTTAATAACACATATTAAAGTACATAAAATACACATATATTGCTTAATGAATATAATAAACACACATGTAACTACTTCCTAGGTCAAGAAACAGAAGTTCACCCTTCTTCACTGCCCTTTATTTTAGATGTTATTTTGAGGGGAGAGTATAAATAAAACCTCATGGTAATCAGTTCCTAAATTCATCTCTGCTTGATCGTAGGCCAGAGCAGGTTGAAAAGAGGCATAAAGATACCAAGGTACATGTGTGTTCTTATCTGTGAGCGTATGTGAGGACATGCTTACACCTATGCCTACCCAGACCAAGGTACTGATTTAATGTAATCTTAGAAGGTGGGCTACAAAATGTTTTGGTTTAGTTTGTTTGCAGTACTGGGGATTGAACCCAAGGGTACAATACCACTAAGCTATCTCCCCAGACCTTTTTTTTAATACCAGGGATTGAACTTGGGGGCATTCAACCATTGAGCCACATCCCCAGCCCTATGTTGCTTAGCAAGTTGCTTTTACTGAGGCTGGCTTTGAACTCACAATCTCCTGCCTCAGCCTCTGGAGCCACTGGGATTATAGGTGTTTGCAACCACGCCAGTTTCTCAGCCCTTTTTATTATTTATTTTGAGACAGGATTTCACTAGTTGCCAAGGCTGGCCTCAAACTTGTGATCCACCTGCCTCTGCCTCCTAAGTAGCTGGGATTATAGGCATGTGCCACCACATCCAACCTAAATCTTTATTTCTAATGGTAAACTCTATACAAATAAATGTTCTTACTACGCAGACATAATACTCTGCTGCTCTAGGCTTAAACCAAGCCTTAACAGAAAACTACATAAAATGTTTAAGACACAAATTTCAGTACAATATAAATCTACATCAATTACCTATATGGTCCCCCACCCCCCAATTGTGGATAGGAAAGATGTTTTAAGTGAAAAGTTGGCATTATAAGATTGCACAATTCCAGCCATCCAATAGACTTATTCCATTCAACCAGAATAGGGGTTCTCTCTGCTCACAGCAGGCATCCAACAGGGTAGCACATATATGCTCTCTGAGTGAGAAAGCAACACCTTCTCACATACAACCCCCTGGAGAGATGGGGAAGGGGAGGGGGAGGACTTTACACCTGCAGATTCCTAACTCTATCAGCACTAGGGCTGGGAAAAACAGCACATTTTTTTTTTAAAGGGGGGGGGGAAGGTTTCCTAATAAAGCCAGTAGCTTCAAAGAAGAATCTTCTCATGACATTCTTAGGAGACTGGTAAGTATAATGACTCAACAGCCATTCTTTGTCTTCTTAATAGACTTACTCAAACCTTAATGACTGCATAAGCAAACTACTTAAAAGGGCAGCTGTCAGAATTTTTATTTCTCTTGGTAGAAAAACACTGTAAGTACAAAAGTGTCATCTTATTAATTAAGGAACCTCAACTTCAAGGCACATCTGTCCCTGGGCCTCTGGATAATCAAAATGACCACTAAAAATAGAACAGTATCTCCAATGGGGCAGACATGAGCCACCCCTAAGAGACCTCTGTGAAATGTGACCTGGGATACACGTTTTTGCAATACCATTGAATATTCATCTGAATATAATTATGTGTTTCCAGTTTTTACTTTGTGTTCTACTGAGGCTAGAAGGCAAAAGTTATAAACAGACATAACTCTGGGCCCATAGATAAAACCTATACTTAGCTGAAAAGTTGATTGAGATCAGAGGGAAAAAACTGCTCTCCGGGTCTAAAAGGGCTGCTGCTGGCACCAAAATGTCCAGGCAATTCATGATCTCCATTTTTCCCCCCAACTTCCCTATTACTGTAAGTAAGCTAGCACTGTCTGTCAAGATGCCCAGGCTATGTGGCAGCAGTGTCAAAGGCTGCCATTTGCTCCAAGGCACTGCCATCTGCGGCAGTACAACATTTTGTCTCCGGAAAATAAACACATCTGCCTTTGCCAGTGTCCTCCCACTGTGCCGCCCATCTGGAGCAGGTGAGCTAGAAGGCAAGCCTGGGCATGGGAAAATGGGGGCAAGTAAGAGAGATGAGGCCTCAAGGGAGATGGCACATGGAGGAAGAAGGCAGTGCTGCGTCATGTCACATCCTGCTAACCACATTTGCCAAAAAGCATGTGAAATTACCCTTGTTAGTGATATTTTAATCACATGTAACAAATGGTTGGTAGTGTTTAGGGTATAAGACCTGCAATGTCAAGATTCCACCTGAGCCATCTGTTCACAAGATCACATGACCTGACTGATATCAATAAACAGATGATGTCTTTGTGTCAGCCACTTAAGGCATGAAGAGAGTAACTCCATTGCAAAAGCAACAGGATTCTTCTAGGATAGGAGCCCACTATACATGCCTACTATTTTTTTTAAATTATTATTAGTTGTTCAAAACATTACAAAGCTCTTGACATATCATATTTCATACATTTGATTCAAGTGGATTATGAACTCCCATTTTTACCCCGTATACAGACTGCAGAATCACATCGGTTACACATCCACGTTTTTACCATGCCTACTATTAACCGGACCAAATATACTCAAATTCAGAGCAGAGTGCTAGGACAAGTCATGGTTACTTCTAGAAATGATGAATACCTGAAGTTCTTTCTAAAATTCCTCTCTCTTTCACTGAAAAAGTAAACTATGGTCTTGACTTTGGGTCCTTATTTATTTTCTTAATGCCAGGGATTAAACCTAGGGCCTTGAGCACACTAAGCGCATGCTCTACCACTGAGCTATAGCCTCCTCTGACATCACACTTTTAAATCATGCTATTTGGGGACTAAAAGAAACCATAAATATCATCCATTCAATTGTTCTCTTTCTCCCAAGGTTTTCAACTCACTCACAGCAGGGCTAGTGCTAAACCTCTCGGAGCAGGGCTCTTTCCATTATATTATTAGTTTTTACATGCAATTTCTATATGTAAAAGAGATCAAAGCAGAGTTGATCTATATGAAACAAAGCTAAAGTTTGGTCTTTCTTGGTGTGGAATAAGGTCTTAAAACCACTTAACCAGGCTAGATATCTTTCCAATTCATTATTTCTATTGTTTCTTTGCTAAGCATTTGCAAGTGCAGCCCTATGAAAATATAAGGTATCAAAGGCTCAGGAAGCACTTCAGAAAAAGTTCTACAAGAACAATTTAGCCAATGAGTGGCAGTAGTAAAGCCCTGAAGATTACCCATCATGGATCTACCTAAGACTTGCCACAAAACTCCACATTCCCCATGGACAATAGATTTGACTGGTTCGTACCTCAGTCTCCACATCTGTAAAATAGAGATGGTGAATGCTAATAGATAATTTTAGGGCATCGCAGTAAGGGAGTGAGGACTGGACCTATGGTAGAAGCACAAGGCAGAATAATCAATATTTACTAGAATTGTATACCAAATATGCCACATAATTCATTGAAAGAAAGAAATAGCCCCATTACTTATCATCCTTCCTAGCTGATTAACCAAAGATAGATCATCATAATTTTCAAAATAATCTTGTCAAAAATCCAAACAGTTCTTTAATGATGGGGTCATTTAATAAATACTCTTTTCTAGGATGGTATCATTCATTCATACAAAATATATTTTATTGAACCACTCACTGGTTTTCAATTCTTGTAACTGGGTACTTTAAAAATTTTTTTGACACATTTGATCACTCACTTCTTAATAAATGAGGAAAGTGAAGCTCAGCAAATAAAAGTAATTTATTCAAGATTATAAAAACTAGTAAGTACAAAAAAGGGGTTAGATTTTTGATATGTCTAATTCCAAATCCTATGCTTAAGGAAGCCCCACAAACCTATAGTCAAAGAGTCTAGCCAGGAATAGATCAACGCAAATGGACACATGCATTTAAATTAAAAACTACACTGAATGCTTTTGAACTTTTCCCCACCTGTATTCATTAAAAATACTTGTGGAAATGCATGATAGTATCTCAGCAATATATGTAGACCTAACTGGATGACATTTATTCAGTAAATACTTATTGAATACCTACAATGGAAACACATTCATACCTTATCTACATAATTCTATATGAGGATCTTGACATTTAATAGAAATGAAAGCTTCAGGATTTCCTAAATGCACAAACATACTCAGACATTAATAATTAAAAAAAAGAAAACAGAGAGGGCTGGGGTTGTGGCTCAGTGATAGAGCGCTTACCTAGCATATGTGACGCCCTAGGTTTGATTCTCAGCACCACATACAAATAAATAAAAAAAAATTCATCAACAAAAATGGCAGAAAGAAACAACAACAACAAAAAAGAAACGAGAATGAAAGTATATGATATCTGAAGTTAGAATCTTAACTCAATTTACAGTCCATACAAACACACACACACACACACACACCCCATTTGGACACATAAACTTGGAGAAATACTTAACCTCACTGTAAACCAGCCTTGGTATCTTTTTAGTAAAATGGGTATGACACACATCTCAGAGTATCATAATAAAAATACTTATAAATTATAGTTAATTTAAAGAGCCCTATATGGCTAGTGGTTACCATATTAGACTGTATAGATCTAGAACAAAACCTAGCACATAATATTTAATCCTCAACTTTACTAGCAGATCAACTTAACTAAAATAGCATAACAAAGTATCCCCTACAGGAAGCTAACTTGTACCAATTACAATGAAACAGCAATAGCAGCATGAAAACAAAAATATTTATTAATCAATTTTATGTGCTATACATTATGTAAAAAGCTTTACATGATTACCTCATTTTAATCTATATAATAATTATATGGAGTACTACTATCTTGTGAATATGGAAATCAGGCTTAGAATTTGTCCAAAGACCTATAGTTAGCAAGTCAGTAAGCAAATATGCAACCCTGGCAGCCTAATTCCACAGATTGTGCTCTTAACCACAATGCTAAATTGTCTTCCACTTTACAGAACCAGTTTACCTAAGATTCATTACATAATCTAGTAAATGTCCTCCCCATCAAACATCTCTCACACACACACATACACACACAGTGATTAGACCTCAAATAATTTAAACTGTAGACACACAGTTATGCATGATAACTGGCTAACTCAAAATAAGTCTCATACACCAACTGATATGACCATGTAAATGTACTAAACTTAGTGACTTTCTACTTATTTGGAAGACTGACAAAACTATCACCTCTCCCCTAGAATAAAATGACTATGGTATAAATTCATATTTAAAAACTAAAAATCTATTTTGATAAAACAACAGGAGAGCAAGGATTGGACCTATGGTAGAATCACAAGGCAGAAGTTATCAATATTCACTAGAACTCCACAACAGTTTATAAGGGATATTTATTTGTTAAGACATCAAACATGTCTGCTAGGAGAAGATTAATAGGATTCACTGCATTTGCATGAAGCATACAGTCACTCTTATCTCAATTCTAAAAGGAGCTTAATTCACTTAATGTCTGCAGCATTTAATGACAAAGTGTTTATTGTGCCCAAAGCTGGAATTCTTATTTCAGTTCTGACTGATAAATTGGAGGAACATTTCAACAGGATGCCACAGCATACTCCTTGCTGAATACCAAGGGAAATTCTGGGTGGCAGGAAAACTAATATCTAACCAATTTCCCTCTCTCAAGAAGGAATAAACAAGAAATGACCACTGACTTTTCACCACATCAAAACAATGTATGTGGGCTGGGGTTGTGGCTCAGCAGCAGAGCGCTTGCCTAGCATATGCAAGGCCCTGGGTTTGATACTCAGCACCACATAAAAATAAATAAATAAAATAAAGAGATTGTGTTCAACTACAATTAAAAAAAAAAAAAAAACTAGCACTGGTAGAGATTCTATGTACTGAAAAGTTCTTCAGTATTATTAGGCGCTGGAGAATAAACTGCTTGAAACGTGGAGTAAGTAACTTTATAAAAAACATAACACGCATATTGTTTGGATTCTACATAACTCAGTTTACATGATCGTGTGTAAAACCAAAACCATGAACAGCACTAGTGTTCTAAAAACTACTAAGAAACAAAAAAGACAATCTTAAGAGTCAAATAATTTAGTTATTAGTCATTAATGCAAATGTTGTTCAGTCTGACCTGCTGTGTGACCTGAACCAGTCCCTTTGCCACTTTATGCTTTTCACTTCATATCAGCAATAGAGAATTAACTACTATCTGTCTCAGAAGAATTGTTGATTAAATTATTAAGCAAAATGCTGTGGGCAAAAGTCATATGAATGTTAAATATTATGATTTACAAGCACTCATCTTCCTAGCACTCCTGTGGGGTTGGGAAGTTATCTTGATATCATGGATGAGTAAACAGGCGGGGGTGGGGGGGGTAAGGTCATATGATAAGCCTCTATTTACTTAGTCCCTGTGGGAAGGGAACAACACACACCTTCAGTAATAATATGAACTTTCTTGGCACATCCTACACAACCTTTTAATGTATTTAATCCTTAATGTTGCATCTTTTTAACACGATGTCAACAGAACTGAGAAAGCTCTAAGAGAGAACAAGGCTAAAATAAGTGAGGGAACAATTCCCTATACTCTGGCAAAAACAATCATAAAAAGACACAGATAAATAATCTTAAAATGAAAAAATGCACTATTTACCTCCATTGCCATTTAAGAAATTAAGAAAAATGATTTGCTACGGAAACACTTTCAAAGAAATTTGGCAATTTTTTAGAAAATTAAACATACTCAATGTATGAACTAGCAATCACACTTTTTGGTGTAAATTTATCCAAAGGCATTGAAAATTTACATCCAAGCAAAACCTAAACATGGATGTTTACAATAGCATTAATCGTAATTGCCAAAACTTGGAAGCAACCAAGATGTCCTTCAGCAGTGAGTGGATAAATAAACTGTATTACACCTAGACAATGGAATCTTATTAAATGCTAAAAAGAAATGAGCTATTAAGGGCTGGGGTTTTGGCTCAGAGGTAGAGCGCTTGCCTAGCATGTGCGAGGCCCTGGGTTCGATCCTCAGCAATACATAAAATAAATAAATAAAATAAAGATATTTTAAAAAATGAGTTATTGAGCCATAAAAAGAAGAACTTTAATTGCACATTACTAAGTGAAATAAGCCTATCTGAAAGGTTACTTAAGGTATGATTTCAACTACATGACACTCAGGAAAAGGCACAACTACAGAAAGACTAAAAAGATCAGTGGTTGTCAGAGGTTGAGCGGGTAGAGAGGGATGAATAGGTAGAGCATAGAGGATTCTATGCTGGGTTGTGGCTCAGCAGTAGAGCACTTGGCTAGCACATGCGAGGCCCTGGGTTTGATTCTCAGCACCACATAAAAATAAATAAAGGTATTGTATCCAACTACAATTAAAAAAAAAAAGAAAAAAGAAAACACTCGGTATGGAACTATAATGATGGGTACAGGTCATTACACATTTGTCCAAACCCACAGAATGTACACCAAGAGTGAAGCCTAATCTAAACTATGATTCTTGGGTGTCAATGTAGGTTCATAAACTATAACAAATGTACCACTCTGATAAATGCTGACAATGCTGGATGCTATAAATATGTGTATGAGTGGAGTGTTTATATGAGAAATCTTTGTATTTTTCTCTTAATTTTGTTGTGACCCTACAACTGTTCAAAAAATAAATAAAACAAAATCTTTAGGAAGGAAAAAAGTTGTCTTTCATGTTAAAACAGACTTGTTATATTAATGTGCTCCAACCAAATTCTTTGTGAAGGTACATTTGCCTTCTAGGCATTAATTAGCAACTGCAAAAAAAAAAAAAAAAAAAAAAAAAAAAAGGAAAAAAATCCAAAGGGCCAAAACATGAGTGACTAGCAGTGGAAAGGTTCAGGAGGGTTGAAAAGGGCAAAAACACTGCTCATGTCTAATAGGACTATAAGAAAAGTACAGACGGCTGGCACAGCAGCACATGCCTGTAATCTCAGTGACCTGGAAAGCTGAAGCAGGAAGATCACAAGTTTGAGGCCAGACTCAGCAACTTAGTAAGACCTTGCCTCAAAATAAAAAATAAAAAGGGCTAAGAATGTAGCTCAGTAGTAAAGTGCCCCTGAGTTCAACTCCCAGTATCTAAAAGAAAAAAGACAAAGGAAGTACAGATGATTTTTCTGCTCTCATCTAAGGCTGACAGCTATATTGCTTACCCGACTCCGAAGACAGTCAGCCAGGTTTCGGCGTGTGAAATTAGCTGCTGCTGTCGGAGACAACTCATATCCTGGTACAGAGATAAAGATTCATACTTAAAGTGAAGCAAAGAATAACAGTGCCTATTCTTAAAGTCCACTATCTTTTTTATATATATTTAGAGTATATAATGTACATAGACTGGGGTTCGGGCACAATCCTACTTCTAGTCCCTATTTTCATGTAACAGCTATGAAATAGCTGGTTACTACTGACAGCTATTTCCTGGTCCCAAATAGGATCAGAGTTGACTGTTCAAACTGATCAAATTCATAGTCTGGCTTAAGGTATTAATTCATCAACAGACTGTAGTTTTTTATTCAGAAAGAAAGGGACACAAACACATAGATATTGGAAAAGAAAGAAAAGTGGGTGGGAAGGGAGAGAGAAAAAGGGAAAGAAAGTCTGTCTTGAGATGCTAATTTTTTCAATAATTTAAAAAAGAATACTGGGAGAAAAGAAGTTGAAAGTTGGGGCAATCTCAGAGTCATACTTTATAAAAAAGATACCTTTCTTATTATTTGCAATATTATTATTATCAAGCCCAAGGGCACTCTACCATTGAACTACATCCCCAGCCATTATTAAATTTTTTTAAATTTTGAGACAGAGTCTCACTAAGTTGCCCAGGCTGGCCTCAAGCTAATGATCTTCTTGCCTCAGCCTTCTGAGTGTGCCACCACACCTGGCTTAAAAAATATATAACTTTATTAAGAGTGTAATATGATTTTCAAAAAAGTACAAGTCACAGAAAAAGAAATGTTTCCATCATTCTACAATATTTTTAAAAATAGAGTATCTCAAATGTAAAACCTCTTAAAAAAAAAAAAGTTGAAATGCCAACAAGCACACAACCTGAGGAATAATATCAACTGTGCATTTAATAATGCATTCACTTTGGAACTTAACTCCCCAGTAAAATCAGACACGTGCCAAAAGGTACAAGAACAATCCACAAGTCAGTGGCCCTGCATGTAAAATATCAGTTCAGTTCTAGAAAGTCAAGAGTCATATGTTTTCTCTCATGTGTGGAAGCTAGAGAGAAATAAAGAAAAAAAAGGGGTAGAGGTGTCTCATAAAAACAGAATGGTATGTGCACACAGTATAACAATATAATTTGGTTAATTGTGTTCCCCAGTAATTCCCGTTCTCTCTCCTCCTCCCTGCCCTCCCTTCCTCTCCCAGCACAGCCAGTAAAATACTGCTATACTTACTACACTTCAGAACCATTATCAGACTCCTTCACCTTAAACATGCTTAAACCTAAGTACCAACAAGGCACAATCGAACCCACCTGTAATCCTAGCTATTTAAGAGGCTGAGGTAGGAGAATTGAAAAATGAAGGCCAGCCTTTGCATTTTAATAAAATCTGCCTCAAAATAGGGATGTAACTCAGTACATAAAGGATCCCTGGGTTCAACCCCTAGTTACACAAAAACAAACAAAACATTTAAAAACCTAAGTATTAGATAAATATTCAGATCACATAAATGCGTTTGGTTCCTGAATGGCAGGGACTGAGCTTTGTTCATCTTTGAATTCTGTGCAGTACTAAGAACAGTACTTAAAATGGATAAGACCCTTAAAAATATTTATGGAATTGGATGTATAATGCTAAATATGCTGCCCAAAAAACTATATGAATGAATCTTATTTAGTCATTTTACATATGTAAAATAAGCTCTTAATTTGAATGTCTTAATTTGAATATAATTATATATGCAAAATGTAATTTTACAGTGTAGAAAATAACAATGTTATTGAACTGTAAAGTAGATAACTGGAAATAAGGTTTTCTCTACCAGAGCACCACTACAAGCTTTCCTGAACTAGAGGACTAGTAGCTAGAGTTGTTAGTCCTTGTTAACTCCAGAGAAAGCTTACAAAATATCTCACAATGTCCTAATTATCTCTGTAGACAGAAACCTAACAGAAATGTAAGGTAGAACCTTTTAAAGTATAGTAAATGCCTTATAATCACACAGAACTTTAAGTTAACAACACATTTCATATGTATTATTCCTTAATATAATCCCATTTTGGGATAAAGAAAATAAAGGCCTATAGAAGATAAATGACTTGTCACATAGACAATAGTAAGGCCAAAAATATTGGGGCGGGGGGAGAGAAAATAGTAAAGCCAAGTTTTATTTAGGTCTTTTAGCTCTGATTAATATATACTTCAGCTCAAATCACATCCTTCGAAATATCTGACACTAAAAAAGTTTGATATTAGCTAGATGTGGGAGGCACACACCTATAAACCTAGTGACTGGGGAGGCCAAGGCAGGAGCATAGCAAGTCTAAGGCCAACCTTGACCTTTTAGCAAGACCCTGTCTTAAAATAAAAAGGGTTGGAGAGGTAGCTCAGTGGTAGAATATCTATGTGTCTGATGCCCAGTTATCACACAAAAAAGTTAAAATGAGGTTATTAGGGTGGGCCTTAATCCAATATGACTGGTGTCCTTTTTATAAAAAGAGAACATTTGGACAATTAACACAGAGGGAATATCATGTGAGGTACAGGGAGAAGATGGCCATCTGTAAGCCAAGAATAAAGACCTCAGTAGATAGAAGAAATCATCACTGTAGACATCTGAATTTTGGACTTCTAGCCTCCAGATCTACGGGAAAATTTTCTGCTGCTTAAGCCAGTCTGTGGTACTTTGTTACGGCAGCCCTAGCAATCTAATATACCAAACAAAGCTATACTCTGAGTCTTACCCACCATTTCGCATCTTATAAAGTTGTACATTTTTCTGAATATATTCTGCAAACTGTACAGTGTCTCCAGCCTCTCCAACACACAGGAGTAAGATTTTTTCACTCATCTTAAACATCTTGTCATGATCTGGTCAAAGAAAAAATTCATATTAGAAATTATCTTAACATAAATTGACAGCTAATATATATGCATCACTATAAACAGGTTTATTAGTTAACTATATTGAATAATTTTATTAATCACTGTCTTTAGAAGATTTCAATAGGAAATTATTAATTTCTCTCTTTCATTCTCCATGTTAAACCACAGACAACTTTATTAATGTCCATTTCAGTTGAAAAATACAGATGAAATGTGACAATTTAAAATAAAATTTGGCTGGGCACAGTGGCGCACACCTGTAATCCCAGGGGCTCAGGAGGCTGAGGCAGGAGTATCATGAGTTCAAAGCCAGCCTCAGCAATTTAGCAAGGTCTTAAACAACTTTATTAGACCCTGCCTCAAAATAAAAAGTAAAAAAAAAAAAAAAAAAAGGACTGGAGATGTGGCTCAGTGGTTAAGCACTAATAGTACCCTAGTACTATAAGTAGATAAATAAATAATAAAATAAAATCCAAAATGGGATGTTCAAGTGAAGTAGTGCACACCTACAATCCCAGTGACTTGAGAGGCTTGAGGCAGGAGGATTGCAAGTCAAGGCAAGCCTCAGCAACTCAGGGAGGTCCTAAGCAACTTAGTGAGACCTAGTCTTGAAATAAAAATAAATAAATAAAAGTAGCTTAGTGGTAAAACTCTGCTGAGTTCGATCCCCAGTACATAATAACAATAATAATAACAATAATATAATTTGGAGCTGGTATAGTTCAGTGGTAGTGTACATACTTCGATTATCTTTAGTCTCATGATCACAAAGCTGGAAAATGTTTCTACAAATACAAATGTAATTTATTGTACTTATACAAAAGTATTTATGAAAAGGACCAGTGGTACAATTAAAATTAAGGGATCTCCTCAAGAAAGAAGAAAAAATGAGCTGAGAATATAAATCACTTTAGAAAGTAATGCAACTCCATTTACAAAGCAAAAAAGAGAACTGGTTGCCAAAGCAAATATTCTAACAGTAAGCTATTTAAAATACCTCACAAAAATCCTAATACTCTAACCTTATCTAGCTGAACCAGACTCCTTCAGATTAGATAGATAAATATTCAGATCACAATTACTGCCTAAGGAAGAAAACTCCATATTCAGTCAGTAGCTTCAGAAAAAGCCTAAATCTCTCACTTTCACTTTTCATTTTTCAAATAATGCTGAATAATCTTCCCTGGGAGACATGTTTCCTGTATGAAAGCTTTTGAAATATCAAAATCTCTTAATAGGATTTAAAGAATAAATGCCACTATCAAATACTTTACAAGTGTTGGAGAGTTGTAGATACTAGTAATATGGACTTTGAGGGGAAAATCCACATAAAATGTGTCTGTAGATAATATCTGTTTGCCTTAAAAACTTAAACAAACACACTTTTGTTATTCAAGCTACAGATTTAAAACTGCTAGTTTGCAAACTTATTTATAAACATTCACTTTATGCAAAGAAAAAGGACCAGAAGGGTATGTTCTAAGTTCTTGCCAGTGGAAAGAATTTTTATTTCCTTCTTTCCGATTACCAGTATTTCCTAAATTACTATACTTAATATGCACCACTTTGTAATAAAACATTATTCAATAAGTTTGTACTATTGTTATAAGAAAAAAGCTGTGCTTATTTTTTGGAGGGGGAATGAGTTTATAAAGAATTTATGTTACATTTAGAAGAAAAAGATAAAATTCTAGGCAGCCACTAAATTTTGAAATAAACTTAATACAAGACCAAATCTTTTTTTAAACAGTGAGCATGTCCACTGAATAGTGGAGGATGATACAAAAACACAGGTTAACAGATACTAATGTTCTCTGTTGTATAAGAAACTGCCCATACAGCTCTAGGGGTATGCATGTCCTTGATAAGGAATTTACAAGATCCACATACAGGAAACAAATGAACAATGTATAACATTATATAAAGGCAACTGGACTAGATTTCCACTGTGATCTGGACCCAATACTCTGAACCTGGGCAAATCATTTGCCTCTCTAAGCTCCAGTTGCTAAAAGTGTAAAATGGTAAGAAAAGGAAGGTAAGGAAAACTGTATTGAATTCTAAACATATATTATACATGTTTATACTAATATACTCAGTGTTACGTAATGTAGTTCAAATTATATATGCTATTAGAATTCAGAATCAAGAGTTCTGAGTGGGCTGGAGTACTCTGAGTAACTTAATAGTAATTCTGGGCTGGGGTCATGGCTCGGTGGTAGTAGAGCACTCGCCTAGCATGTGTAATACCCTGGGTTCAATCCTCAGCACCAGATAAAAATAAATAAATAAAATAAAGGTATTGTGTCCATCTACAACTAAAAAAATAAATTAAAAAAAAAAAAGTAATTCTATAAAGGCCAAGAGAAAAAAGGCATGAAATGCAGCATGCTGCATAACCAAACCCAGAGTGACACCACTTAACTTTAATAAGCATTCAATCTTAGGGAAATGTCTTCTCTCCAGTATCAAAATATTTAAACTGAGTGGTACATGATGGTACACGCCTGTAACCCCATAACTCAGGAGACTGAGGCAAGAGAATCCAAAGTTAGCAAGATACTATCTCAAAATTAAAAAAAAAAAAAAAAGTTTCAAAAGATTACTGCTTTTCAGTATTTTATTCTACACAAGTTTCTTTATGAAATGGTTAGGGGAAATTCTCAATAAAATTCTAAAATCTCTATCTTTTTTAAAAATTTAAGACACGGTAAGACACGGTCTGGCTACATTGCCCAAGCTGGGCTTGAACTTGTGATACTCCTGCCTCAGCCTCCTGAGTGGCTAGAATTACAGACTGTTGCCACCATGCCCAGTCTTTCATAAAATTTTTATAGCAGAAAAGACTAAAGGGAAAATGAGAGTTGAGTGCAATTATTTTCTACTATATTTTCAGAACTCAAATTCTCTTTCTCTCAAACTATACTGATTTTTCTTTTCTGTGAATAGACAGAATTCACTCTTAGGATTTACTCTTTGAACTAATTTTAAAAATAATTTAAGACTAACTAGTACTACTTCTTTTCTAATACAAAATCATTTTATAGTATTTGTTCCTTGTTTTATTGTTAATATTTTGTTCCTTCTATGGATTATATCTAATAAATTGCACCCCCTATAATAACTAGAAGTACTGTGCACATGAGTGTACTTTAAGTACAATCTACTACTCAAAATGATTTTATATACATTATGGGATTAAACAGAAAACCTGTAAAGGTATCGACCTGGTCATTGCTTTACCTAGGTACTACTTCGTGCTCAAATCACTTTTTTTTTTCACAATATCTTTTTATTTTATTTTTATGTGGTGCTGAGGATTGAACCCAGTGTCTCCAGCATGCCAGACGAGTGCGCTACCACTTGAGCCACAACCCCAGCCCTCAAGTCACTTTTTAAATCAAATGCCTCAGTATTCAAAATAATGAGCTAATTTACTCTCAAAACAAATTTACTCCTCTGGAGCCTAGTTTACAAACAGAACTAACTACCAACTAACTACAGAATTTCATAAAGTAATCGCAATTAGGAACAATCCATATCATAGATGTTTAATGAACCAATTAAACATCCTTTCTTCCTCAGAAAGGACAGAACTCGGGCTGGAGTTGTGGTTCAGTATCAGAGCACTCACCTAGCACTTGTGGGGCACTGGGTTCAATCCTTAGCACCGTATAAAAAATAAATAAATAAAATAAAATAAAATAAAGGTATACTACCCATCTACAATTACAAAAGGAAAAAAAAAAAGGAATTCAAGCAAAGCCCTTCAGAATTCTTTCCATTTTCCTGGATGGGGGTCACAGTGTGACAACCAAATAGATGCCTTTCTCTTTACAAAAACAGAAGCAGATACCTTTTTGCCTTTGTTCACATCCTTCAGGAAATCCCAGATGAAATATTTTTCCTTAAACCCAAGATGGACTGTCACCTGCCCTCAAAACTTTTCCTAATCTCTACAACCAGAAAGAATCTCTTCTTCTTCATTATCTAACAATTCTTATTCCTCTGCATTACCTGAGAAGTTTGATTGTACTTGTCTTATGACACTACACTTCCTAAATTGTGTCATAATTATCTGTACACATATCTAAATTGTAACTTCTTTGATGACGTCTTATTTTCTTTGCATCCCCTCCCCTCAGCACTGTAAAGCACACAGTGCCCCAGAACTATTTGTCAAATGAACTTTAGTCATCTGACCCAAAGTATACTTTTTCAACAGCACATATATGATGGTTAATGAAAACACCCTTGGACTCTACAGATCAACAACCAAAAGCTTTTTAAAATTTTGTTTTGAGTATTTATTATAGAGAGTACGGGATAGTTGTTATGAGTAAAAGGTCTGGATTCAGACTGTACATTGAACTGCCATTTAAAACCATAGGCAAATCTCTTAACCTTTGTGCCTCAAATAACATGCAAAGTGAGGATATAATAGTGCCCATCAAAAAAGGATAAATGAATTAAAGTGAATCGCTTAACAGGGCACCAGATACATTACGTATTTAGCATTATTACTATTAAATATCTGTCAAATGTTAAGCATTTGCACATAACTCATTAACTCAATTCTCCCAACAAGTTTCGAATTGGTATTATTTATCTAACAGATGAGTAAATCTGAGCACTGCAAAATAACTTGTACAAAGCATTAACTCAAATAAGCGACTGGGTACTAGTTTCCAAACGCCAATAACTACTTAACTATAAGGAAAACCTGGAAGCCAGAGAAAACCGAAAAAGGAAGATCGATGCTGAGCCACAATAAGATACGGGAGACGAAGGGAAATGCCAAGTCTCTGGTTCCACAGTCTCGCTCTGCCCAGGATCCCATCTTAGGCTGCCCGGAAACTAACTTCATTACTAGCGACAACCGAAACTTTAGAAATTCGGGGTTCTACGGAGCCTAGAGCTGGGTAGGCGCTTCAATTCTTACAAATCTAATTCCCTTAGGTAACTCTCACCTAGTAAGAAGCATTTAGCGAAGCCAAAGGACAGCACTGACTCACGAGCTAATGCCAGGTCCCTTGGCTTGACAGTCTCCTCGGTTCTAAAAAACTGTAGAGTAGCCCAGGTTCCCCCTCCCAGACTTCCCCGGGACTTATCCAACACCCGCATGAACTCCCTCCCGCTCCCCCACCAAGGCCCGCAAGGGCCTCCCGTGCTTCCTCTCACCGTCCTTCATCTGGACAATATTGCTAGCGGCCACCCTGTCGGAGGCGACAAGAACATAGTCGGGGCCCTGGATGCCAATGAGGTACTCCATGGTAGCGGAGGGCTGGGGGCTGCAGGTTGGACAAGACTCGGGACTTGCCGGTTTCCCCGCCTCACTGATGAGACAGCACTGCCCAGCGAACCTCCGCGCGACGCAGGCCGCGCGACCGCCCCGGCCACTGGCGCTCTCGGATGACGTAACCATCGCGAGAGGTTGGAAAGGGGCGTGGCGTTGAGAGCATTACACTGCGCCTGCCTCTGGGACTGTCCTTGATTCCGCCAATGGTCGCTGAGTTAGCACTCAGCTTTTTATCTGCAAATCTGAATTTTGAAAAATCAGTTTACTGTATGTAAAGAGCCAAGCACTTGTGGCTGCCCAAAGGTGATAGTTCCTCAGGTTTCTCTTTCTCTTCTTCTTTGCTGGGTAAAAAAAAAATCTCTCCGGGACCCCTTCCCTGCAAACCAGATTGGAGAAAAGTTAAGAGGAGCCCTAATTACCTCCGTCACAAAAATAATATATGATTGCATTAAAGATATAAGTTGAGGGGCTGGGGTTGTGGCTCAGTTGGTAGAGCATTTGCCTTACACATATGAGGCACTGGGTTGGATCCTCAGCACCACATAAAAACAAATAAATAAAGATTGTGTCTACCACTAAAAAAATACTAAAAAAAAAAAAAAAAGATATAAGTTGAGGGGCTGAAGTTGTGGCTCAGCGGAAGAGCGCTTACCTAGCACGTGTCGGGGCCCTGGGTTTGATCCTCAGCATCACATAAGAATAAGTAAACAAAGGTATTTGTCCATCTACAACTAAACAAAAATATTTTTTAAAGAATCTCTCATTACATAAGATTACAAATCTATATGGTGAAATTCGTTCTAATACTCCTATACAAACTGGGATGTTTCAGTATATGAAATAGTTGATATCTGGAACTTAAAAGCCATTCCTAAACTGGTGTAGCTTGTGCCTGTAACCCCAGCTACTTGGGAAGCTGAGGCCAAAGAATCACTTGGGCCCCTCAAGCTTCTGAAACCACCCCGGGGAATATGGTGATACCCTGTCTCCAAAAACAAACACAAAAGAAAGGTTAAGAAAAGCAATCTGCAAAGGAAGAAACAAAAATGGCCAAGAAACCTGAAAAAAATCCTCAATCTTGATAGTAATTGACAAAATGACAAATAAATAAACAATAAGAAAATGTAAATTGGTTGTAAGATTATAATTATATGACCTTAAAAGGACTATTAGATATCTTAAAATTTAGTGTCTGGAGTTGTGGCTCAGTGATTGAGTGCTCACCTAGCATGCTATATGCCTTGGGTTGAATTCCTAGCACTCAAAAAATATATACATTATTTTAATAATTTTATGTCTTTGGATCTTATGTATCCAAAGACATTTGCATAAATAACCCAAATTTTGTGTACAGAGATACTGTTGCAGCACTGCAAGAGCAACAAAACAGGGATCAACTGACATGTCTAAATACAAATGTTATATAAATGATGGTACACTCATAAATGGAATATTATACAATGAAAAGAAATTAAATGAAGCTAAATATACATACATATTCTATGGCCCAAGATACACTAATTGAAAATGAAAAAGCTTTCTTATCTGTAGCACAATTCGATTTTGTTAAAAAATGAATATTTGAGGGCTGGGGATATAGCTCAGTTGGTAGAGTACTTGCTTCACATGTACAAGGCCCTGGGTTCAATCCCCAGCACCAAAAAAATAAATTTAAAAATGAATATTTGAATATGAGTGGGAAAATATCTATTTACAAATGTTCCAAGGTCAAATTATAACCATTCATTGGTAAGTATAATTTGAAGAGAGGATTTTTGTTTTTATTTTGGACACATTTGTTTTGTTTAAACGTACTTGTTTGTTTAATTATTTATTTTTAGTGCTGGAGATTAAACCCAGGGCCTTGTTCACGCTAAACATGCACTTTACCACTGAGCTACACTCCCAGCTCATTACTTATAATATTTATTTATTTATTTGGGTATTAGAGATTGAACCCAGGGACACTTAACCACTGAGCTTCATCCCCAGACCTTTTATTTTTATTTTGAGATAGGGTCTTGCTGAGTTGCTGAGGCTCTTACTAAATTGTTGAGGCTGGCTTCAAACCTGTAATCCTCCTTTCTCATTCTCCTGAGTTGCTGGGATTGTAGACATATGCCACTGAACCTGACTACTTGTAACTTTTAAATTAAAAAAAAATCCATCCCTTTCAATTTTGCAGCAATTATGATAATGGTAAAATATTCCATAACTACGTTTTATTTTTTTATTTTTATTTATTTATTTATTTAGTTTTTTTTTTTTCATAACTACGTTTTAGTACGCACAACTGATCTTCATTCCAGCTTGTTGAGAAATGGTGGTGGTGGGGGGGAGGGTTTGCAATTGTATATCCTAACACAACTATGCAATTCATTTGTCTCTTCAGAAATTGAAGTACTCATTTCACTCTAAATGTTTCTTCTAGTTCTCTGCCCATAAAAGAACATAGAGCCTGAGGAGTTTGGGGCAGCCTATCTATCATGAGATGGATGCCAGGGGCAAGTGAGGTCATTAAGTCAACCATCCCACTATGAACACAGCTGCATCCATCATCCTAGAAAGATTCTTTTCTTAAACACCACTGGGAAAGCCTGGGCTACTGCCACCCACTCTCTCTCTTTCTCTGTCTGTTTTTTAGTTGCAAAAAGTACACAGTTATACAATACACATACTTACACACACAAATAATATAGAAATGAGAAATTAAATATTTCTTTTCCTCCTACCGAAGATAAACCCGTCAAATGCCTGTGTCCTTCCAGAGCTTTTTCTTTGTATGTAACAATAATCACTCATTTATTCGTTAAAGCTACAGAACTTCAGGGCTGGGATTGTAGTTCAGGAGTACAGCACTCACCTAGCATGTGTGAGGCACTGGGTTTGATTCTCAGCAACACACACACACACACACACACACAAGTATTGTGTCCATTTACAACTAAAAAATGCTAACTTCACTTAGCATTTTTTCTTTTTTTATTAATTTATGACAGCAGAATGCATTACAATTCATATTACACATATAGACCACAAATTTCTTATACCTCTGGTTGTATATAAAGTATATTAACACCAATTTGTGTCTTCATACATGTACTTCGGATAATGATGTCCATCACATTTCACTATCATTTCTAACCCCATGCTCCCTCCCTTCCCCTCCCACCCCTCTGCCCTATCTAAAGTTCATCTAATCCTCCCATGTTCTCCCTCCCTACACCACCATGAATCAGTCTCCTTATATCAGAGAAAATATTTGGCATTTGGTGTTTTGGGATTGGCTAACTTCACTTAGCATTATCTTCTCTAACTCCATCCATTTACCTGCAAATGCCATGATTTTATTCTCTTTTATTGCTGAGAAATATTCCATTGTGTAAATATGCCACATTTTTAAAAAAGTTTAAAAATTTTTTTATACCTTTATTTCATTCATTTGTTTTTATGTGGTGCTGAGGATTGAACCCAGGGCCCCGCGCATGCTAGGTGAGCGCTCTACTGCTGAGCCACAATCCCAGCCCCCACCCCCACCCCCACCCCCGCCCCTGCCACATTTTTTTTATCCATTCATCTAATGAAAGGCATCTAGGTTGGTTCCACAGTTTAGCTATTGTGAATTGTGCTGCTACAAACATTGATGTGGCTGTGTCCCTTTAGTATGCTGTTTCTAAGTCCTTTGGGTATAGGCAGAGGAGAGAGATAGCTGAGTCAAATGGTGATTCCATTCCCAATTTTTCAAGGAATCTCCATACTGCTTTTCTTATTCGCTGCACCAATTTTCAGTCCCACCAGCACTGTATGAATGTACCTTTTTCCCCACATCCTCACCAACACTTATTGTTGTTTGTATTCATAATAGTTGCCATTCTGACTGAAGTGAAATGAAATATTATAGTAGTTTTGATTTGCATTTCTCTAATTGCTAGTTGTTGGGAGTCTCCCTGAGAACTCCCCGGGCCTTTCAAACATGGCGGTGGGCAAATTGCCAGTGGGTGGCTAGAACTCCCCGGGCCTTTCAGATAAGGAGCCCCTAATGCAACATGGCAAAGGGCAAGTTGCCAATGGGCGGATAACAAGTTGTTTTGAAAACCTTCTAATTGCCCTCATGTCTTCCGTACTTGTGGACAATTTGTGCCCCCCATGAATCTTATGCAGGGCGGATGAGCGTGTGCACAGTAGGTGATGACCTGACCTTTACTATGATCGGCCCCGGGAGGGAGCTTCCTGGTTTAAGATAACTGACTCTCACTTTCTATATAAGCTAGAACCAGCTTGCAGTAAAGTGCTTCATCTTTGTCACTGCTATCTGTGTGTATGCATTTTAATCTCCGACATCGAACCTTGGCCTTTCACTAGTTATGATGAACATTTTTTCATACATTTGTTGATTGATTGTATATCATCTTTTGAGAAGTGTCTGTTCAGGTTCTTGGCCCATGTATTGATTGGGTTATTTGTTTTTTGTTTGTTTGTTTTGTTTTGTTTTGTTTTGGTGCTTAGCTTTTTGAGTTCTTTATATATCCTAGAGATTAGTGCTCTATCTAATGTATGAGGGGTAAAGATTTGCTCCTAAGATGTAGGCTCTCTATTCACCTCACAGATTGTTTCTTTTGCTGAGAAAAAAAACTTTCTAGTTTGAATCCATCCCATTCTTTGATTCTTGATTTTAATTCTTATGCTATAGGAGTCTTATTAAGGAAGTTGGGGCCTAATCCCACAAGATGGAAATTAGGGCCTACTTTTTCTTCTATTAGACATAGGATCTCTGGTTTTATTCCTAGGTCCTTGATCCATTTTGAGTTGAGTTTTGTACATGGTGAGAGATAGGGATTAATTTCATTTTGTTGCATATGGATTTTTAAAAAAGCTACAAAACTCTGAATTGGACGATCTGCAATCATTTTTTTTAATGTGTATTTTTTTAGTTGTAGGTGGACACAATACGTTTATTTTATTTTCTGAGGATCGAACCCAGGGCCTCCCATGTGCCAGGCAGGTGCTCCACCACTAGCCCCAGCCCCAGCCCTGTTTATTTTTTTTAAAAGCATCCAACAAGCTGGGTATGGTGGTACACACCTGTAATCCCAGTGACTA